AACATTTATCGAATATCAACTACATACAAACATGTATGTAGTTCATCAGACTCAGGAAGTAGTCTTGCCTTCCAGGGAGTTATTTTGTTTCTCACAAGCTTGTAAGAAGCAAGTACCATTGTATAAAATGCACAATTTGAGTACAGCATGATTAGAAGAGATTGTGATTGAATGAAACCTATTTATACTTTAAGAGGAAGTTGAGCTAGGCATTGATTACTTTCAAAAGTGAGAGGCCCGCGTACCGCAAAAAAAAAAAATACAATAAAAAAATATATATATATAATAATTTAAAGTTTACTCCTTTAAGTGAAATATGAATGTCCCATGTATTTACCTCACAATCATTTTCAGTAGTTAATGGACATTCTCATGATTCAGTCATCCAATCAATTTCATTGATTAGCTGAACACCACAAACTACAGTAGTCATTTTGATCTTTATATAGGTTTTTTTTTTTCTTTTTTTTTAAATTGAGGTATAGGGACTTCCCTGGTGGTCCAGTGGTAAAGAATCCGTCTTACAATGCAGGGGATGCAGGTTCAATCCCTGGTCAGGGAACTAAGATCCCACAGGCTGTGGGGCAACTAAGCCCACGTGCCGCAAACTACAGAGCCCACGTGCCCTGGAGCCTGCGTGCTACAACTAGAAAGAAGCCTGCACACCTCAAGGAAAGATCCCGCGTACCTCAAAGAAGATCCCGTGTGCCGCAACTAAGACCCGATGCAGCCTAAAATAAATTAAATAAATAAATAATAAATCTTCTTAAAAAATAAAAATGAAGTATAGTTGATTTACAATGTTGGGTTAATTTCTACAGTACCACAAAGTGATTCAGTTGTACATATATACGTTTATTATCTTCTTTTCCATTACGGTTTATCTCAAGATATTGACTCTAGTTCCCTGTGCTCTGCAGTAGGATGATCTTTATATAGTTTTAAGTCATTTTTTATTTTTAGTCACATCATTTAATTTATTCCCATAATGGACCTTATTGGTTGAATACCAGAAAAATAATGGTGAAACACACCAAATTAAGGAGGAATATAGAAATATTTCTGAAAATCTCAAAATGTTCCCCCAAAGTGACATTTATATGGTCAAAATTATTTACGAAGCCCAGCAAGGTATTTCTGGTACTTCAAAAATAAACTTAAAATGAGGAATGATTATTACATGCAATTTAGTATGAGGGGAAAACCTATCACATTTTAATTTTTTTTTAAATAAAGAGTTGCTTGTATTTTTACTTATATGTGGAATCTAAAAAATAAAACAAATGAACAAATATAACAAACAGAAACAGACTCAAAGATACAAAGAACAAACTAGTGGCTACCAAAGGGGAGGGGCGTAGGGGAAGGGGCAAAGTAGGTGAAGGGGATTAAGAGGTACAAGCTACTAGGTATAAAATAAAAAAGTTACAAGAATGTAATATACAGCACAGGGAATATGCAACTGAGTCCCCCTAAAACTGAGTTCCTCTGCTGAGTTTATTATTAAGCTCTCTATCCAAAACTGTATTCCCTTTCTTGTCCCATACCTGTTCCTCTCAAGATAGAAGAATATCAAACTAAAGGGGGTACTGAAATCAAGCAGGTCCTGGGGTGGGGGTCCTCCTGTGTACAAAAGCCCCTCCATTTCCATTTTTTGCTTGTAAAAAATGTCTTTAGTCTCCCAGGCTTTCCCTGAGTTCCAAAGAGCAGGCACAGGCAGTTACTAATTAGGGAAATGAGAAAATGCAGAAACAAAGGAAAAGCAGTTAAACAAGAAAAATAATGGCAGTAATTCAGCAATAAAGCAGAGTCCTAGTTCCTCCTCAAGGGATACACATAACAATCTGACAGATATCTTTGTCAAGAACTAAGGCCCCCCACTCACCCAGGTGGAGGACAGTGACTATATTCTCAAGCACTAGACCCCAGACTGGTTGGAACCAGAAGGTTGATGATTGAGATTCCTGAAATGTCATCCTGCTACCTCACCACCAACCAATCAGAAGAAAGTCATGAATCTTGCAGCCCTCACCCCCAAATGTTGCTTTTAAAACTGATCCCCTGAAAACCATCCAGGAGTTTGGGTCTTTTGAGCATGAGCTGCCCATACTCCTTCCTGGGCCCTACAATAAATGGTATACTTTCCTTCACCATACCCAGTGTCAATAAATAGGCTTTGCTGCATGGCAGGCGACCAGACTCAAGTTTGGTTCAATAACAAATATAGTCAATATTTTATAATAACTTTGTATGATGTGTAATCTATAAAAATATTGAATTACTGTGGTTTACACCTGAAAATAATAAGTCAACTATACTTTAATAATAATAAAAAAGAAGTGCTTATAATCACTCTAAAAAACCTTCACTCATAAAATCATTTGGATTTTTTAAGTACCAAACACAAGAATTCCAAACAGGTTCTGAGAGCAGTTTTTATTGACTTTTTTATGATCTATTAGATAAAGAGATTCTAATATACATTCTGTCACAAAACATATTCATTTAAAAGGTATCATCAGATTTTTTCTTTTATAATTAAACGGTGCATCACTTGATAATGGGGAAAAAATCTAAATTTGTATATATGAGACTGCAATAAAAAATAATCTCTAACATATCAATCTAAGTTAAATGACTTTTACTTAAGGTTACATAACATTGTTCATGCAAAAGTGATATTTTAAAAAATTTCTACAGATCTTCAGATTATATATTATGAAATCTAGAGAACTGTATTCTTCAAAGAAAAATCTGAAGACAGTTACCTAATTTGTTATTTTAAAATTACTTACATACAGAACATATTTACGCAATATAGTAAATGTAAACGTAGTATTTTGACTTTAAGTTGTGCTAAAAAGAAAATAGATTGGGATTGATATATATACACTAAATGGATAACTAATAAGAACCTGCTGTATAAAAAAATAAAATAAAACTCAAAAAAAAAAAGAAAATAGAAAAGCAATAAATTTTCTTCAGCAGAAGAGACTGAAGGCACTAATAAATTTGGTATCATTTACTGAGATTGTATGCTTTCAAGAAAAAATGCAACTACAGCATTATTACCTGATGGTTCATTTTCATTATCTAAATTTCCTTATAGTAGGATCTCATAAACAGATCTCACGAAAGATTTATGAACCTGTCCTCATTATTACTCACATGTATAAAGTGGAAGCAACAAATAAATTTAGTTCAAACAAATTGAAGGTCAAGTTTTCCAGAAAGCAGGTTAAAAAATTATGTTTCAGTTAGGCTAAAAAAATGTATATATCCATACCTCCCAATTACTGTATGTTTTAAATGTATTCAATCAACAATTACACTTTTGAATATATGTCAGTAACTATGATATGTGAACGCTATCCAAAAGTTTTTGCAAACATTTACTGAGCAGCTACTTTGTGTTATCGGTGTTTGTTAGCCACCAATCGCTTACTTTTTTTTTTGGCTGCACTGCACAGCTTGCGGGATCTTAGTTCCCCAAAGAGGGACTGAACCCGTGCCCCCTGCAGTGGAAGCACAGAGTCCTAACCACTGGACCGCCAGGGAATTCCCACCAACTTTACTTTGATAGCCTATACAGTCCTCCCTGGAAATCCGCCCAAGATTGGCTCCAAAACTCTCCGCAGACACCAACATTCCTTACGTACGTAGTACCTTGGCCATCAACTCAACACTAAATTACTGATACTTGAACTCTTGCAACTTAAGTTTTTAAGACTCATGAATAAAAAGTAAAATTGTAAAAGAAAATTAATTTTCAATTATTATTTTACTGCTGTTCTCTTTGGTATTCCTGCCATGGTACTTTTGAGTTGGGTTACCAGTTAACCTTGGATAAATGAAAACTAAACTCAAGGCAATAAGTGTCTTTGCTTTCTTCTCATGAGGGTCAAAACTGCTGAAGTTAATCACAAAATATTAACCTTTTAGCTAGGTTTTCCGATCCGATAAAATTTCCCCTCAAATGAATGACCATGTGTACTTTCTACTTCGATTTTTTAAAATAATAAGGAGGAAAGGGAGGTAATTCCTGTCTCCCTCCTCCCATCCCCAAAGAGCTGAGAAGTTAAGATGCTTTTTCTTACAAAAACCTCTCCCTACCCATGACGAAGCAACCAAGGACGCCAAGGCAAACCCGGAGATTCCTAAATCTTCAGCAGACTGTAACAAGGAAAACCAAAATTTGACAAAATTCTTCCTTCATTTCCACTGTTTCTGCAAAGATCAACTACTTTCTTGCTTTTAACAAAAGACCACTGCAGGAATG